AGCACTAGTAATGGCTCGGGGTAAGAACACAAGCACGTTATCTATGACTACTGGTTTAATTAACAGTGTTGATACTACTGTTGCAGAGAGCACAACAGAGTTGTGACATTGCAGACTTGGTCACATGAGTCAGAGAGGTATGAAGGAACTTTTGCATTATGGGAAAACAGAGGAATGTCAGTTTCTTAAAAGGTGGTAGGACGTCAAAGGCAGGAAAACTAGATCTTGTACACACAGATTTGTCGGAACATTCTCCAGAGACATCTCTTGGAGGCTCTCGTTACTACGTCACATTCATTGATGACCATAGCAGAAAGATATGGGTTTATTTCTTGAAGTATAAATCTGATGTATTCAGTGTGTTCATGACTTGGAAGGCCATGGTTGAGACAGAGACATGATTAAAGCTGAAATGTCTGAGGTCTGATAATGGTGGTGAGTACATTGATGGTGGGTTCAAGGAGTACTGTGCAGCTCAGAGAATCAAAATGGAGAAAATCATTCCAGGGACACCGCAGCAAAATGGTGTTGCAGAGCGCATGAACAGGACTATTAATGAGCGGGCTAGAAGCATGAGATTGTACGTCGGACTACCACCTACTTTCTGGGCACTGGGCAGAAGCGGGTAGAAGCGGGCAGTACTGCAGTTTATTTGATCAAAAGGGGGTCATTTGTTCCATTAAACTGTGAATTACTTGAAGAAGTCTGGAGTGAGAAAGAGATAAAATTTTCTCACCTTAAGACTTTTGGATGTGTTTCTTATATTCTGATTAATCCTGATACTCGAAGTAAGCTTGAGGCTAAGTCAAGAAAGTGTTATTTCATTGGTTATGGAGATGAGGCATTTGGATATCGTTTCTGAGATGATCCGGGTCGGAAGATCATAGGGAGTAGGAACGTGATTTTCAATGAGAATGTTATGTACAAGGACAAATCCAGTACAGTTTCTGAAACATCACTGAAGGAATCTGAGTTGATAAAGTTTGATGATTTACCAGAGGTCACAGTGCAGGACAGAGATGCAGGTAACGAGGAGAGTGGATTCGGGGTATCCACTCCTATTATTTCACAGTCAGTTTCAGAGCAGTCTACCCCTACAGGTGCAGTTCGTAGGTCAGAAAGGGTTAGACGTTCTCAACAACGTTATTCTCCAACTTTGAACTACATTGTGTTGACAAATGGTGGAGAACCTAAGAGTTATGAAGAAATATTGCAAGATGAAAATTCGAGCAAGTCGGAGCTAGCCATGAAGGAGGAGATGAATTCTTTGCTTGAAAATCAGACTTGCGAGTTGGCATATCTTCCATCTGGGAAGAATGCATTACTCAACAAGTGGGTGTACCGGGTGAAGACTAAGCATGGTGAAAGTAAGAGGTACAATGCTAGACTTGTTGTAAAAGATTTTCAGCAGAAACACGATATTGATTATTCCGAGATTTTTTCTCCTATGGTGAAACTTACAACCATCAGAATGGTACTGTCTATGGTGGCTACTGAAGATCTCTTCCTTGAGCAGTTAGATGTGAAGATAGTCTTTCTTCATGAGAATCTTGAAGAAGACATCTACATGCACCAACCTGAAGGGTTCGTGGTACAGGGAAAGGAAGAGTCAGTTTGCAGATTGAAGAAGAGTTTGTAACTCCTAGACAGTGGTAACAGTGGTACAAGAAATTTGATAATTTCATGCACAGTGCAGGGTACAGCAGATGTCAGACAAATCATTGTTACTATGTCAGATATTTTGACAATTCTTATATCATCCTACTGCTATATGTGGATGATATGCTCATTGCAGGTGCTAGTATTGAATAGATCAATAATCTGAAGGAGCAGATATCAGAGCACATTGCAATGAAGAATTTGGGAGCTGCAAAACAAATCATTGGTATGAGAATTGTCAGAGATAGAGCCAGGCATGTTGAGACTCTCTCAGGCTGAGTATGTGAAAAAGGTACTTAGCAGGTTCAACATGGATAAGGTCAAACCAGTTGGCACACCCTTGGGAAGTCACTTCAGACCAACAAGGATCAGTCATCCAAGTCAGAGGAGGAACGAGATCACATGAGTAAGGTTTCTTATGCTTTAGTTATTGGTTCACTTATGTATGCAATGGTTTGCACCAGACCGGATATTGCCTATGCAGTGAGAGTTGTTAGCAGATATATGAGTAATCCAGGAAAGGAACATTGGGAAACAGTTCAGTGGATCCATGGATCTTGAGATACCTAAGAGGTTCTGCAGAAATTTGCTTGTGTTTTTCAGAAAAGAATTCAGAGGTACGAGGCTATGTTGATGCTGATCTAGTTGGTGACATTGATACCAGAAGACGTACTACAGGCTATATTTATACTATTGGTGACACTTCAGTATCATGGGGCTCTAATCTGCAGAAGACAGTTTCGTTGTTTACTACAGAAGCTGAGTACATAGCAATGTCAGAGGCTGCAAAATAGATGATATGACTACATGGCTTCTTGAAAGAATTAGACAAGAAGGATCAGATGTGCATACTCTATAGTGATAGTCAGAGCGTCATATTCCTTGCCAGGAATCCAGCATTTCACTCCAGGACAAAGCACATTCAGATTAGGTATCACTTCATACGGTCATTGTTGGATGACGGACAGCTATTGCTTGAGAAAATTTGTGGAAGCCAAAATCCTGCTGATATGTTGACAAAGGGTTTACTCTGTCTGGAAAAACTGAAGTTATGCGCAGCTTCAGTTGGTCTTTTAGTGTGAAGATATGGGCCTTGAGTTGCAGAGGTGGAAGATTCATATTTGAAGAAAATGACAACACTGCCAGTGAAGGATGTTAATTTGAGGAAGAAGCCGTTGCAGTCTGTGTAGCGGTCTCCAAGTGAGAGATTTGTTATGGTGGAACCCGGTTAAAGTAACTGTTCACGCCTCCCTAAGTAACGGGTCCCGCCATTTTTTAATTGCTTTGCCAGAATAAGATAAAAAAGGCTCCAGCAGCAGTTATTATTATTACTCCTTCACGGTTTTCTTGGTAGCAAGGGTTGGCTTACGCGAAAAGCAAAAAAAGGCAATTTTACGGTTTGAAAAATTAATTGAAGAAAACAGTGTTCTCTCCTGTGACCGTTTCGTGAGAGAAGAAGGCAGGGAAGGGGTAGGCCGAGGCTTCCTTTTTCCTTGGATTTTCAATCAACTGCTACAGGTCAAAGATATCCAAGAGACATTTATCCGGGGCTTTTGCGTGCTTGGCAGAAGGAAGAAGAAGATAGTTGAAGAAGAAGGTGCTCTTCTTGTATTTCTTCTTGTTGGCTTAGCGCAGAAGAGAAATAGGTTTTTTTCTCTTGTACGTATTTCTTCTTCTTCGGTGTTCTTGCTCTTCGGTATATCTCGGTGTAGACAGAAGAGTGAAGAAGCGAGAGAAAGAGTTCGCTCTTGTAATTGGAGACGATTCACTGGTGTAATTTCCTCAATTAGTAAAATTCTCTGCAACTCCGTGGATGTAGGCAATTTGTCGAACCACGTAAATCTGTGTGTTCTTTTATGGTGTGAATTTTCTCATGCTGTTTTTTCGTTTCGTCGTCGATCGTTTTAAATTTCATATATACCACAACAGTGCTATGACCTTATCATCAAATTTGATCCTCACATAACACAACTGACCGTCACAGTTGAGATTATTCGGATATTCTGTCACTGAAGAGTCTTCCACCATCTTCATGTTGAATATCTTCTTCATCAGAAAAACATTTTTGGAAGCAGAAGTTTTTTCGTACATATTTGTCTGTGTTGTCATAAGATTCATTGTGTTTTCTCATTTACTTTATTTAACGCAACAGACAAGGAAAGTGATAATCGGATCAAACTTAGTGTCGTTTGTCCAATACTTTCCATTCCTCCATGGGCATGGATTCAGGTTTCCTGGTAATTCCTTGTAATGGAAAGTATAACTTTTTCAAATAAAAAAAAAAATTCTATTTCCATCTTCAGAATGCTCTCCACTTTAAATCTTGTTTCCTCGGTCATTGCTCCCACTTGAGTTGAACACCACTTTGATACCATTGTGTTCATGAATAACTGGGAAGAATCCCCTCCAAATTCTCCACGGAATAGGATCGTGTAGATTCGAGAAAACCAGAACAAACTTACGAATAGAAGCACAACAAATCAAACCAAAAAAGCACAAGAGAATTTAACGTGGAAAAATACGAGAAAGGGAAAAAACCTACAAAGTCACACAATCAAAAAAATTTGACCTTTAAAATAAGAGAATTTAAAGAAAGCACTCAATTTTCTCTTTACACTCAAGAAAACTTACAAGATCCCGCTCCAAACTTTTCCTTCTCTGATCCGACGCGGGAAACACATGTCGAAATCACATAACTCATCCTCTCCGACATTTTTCACCTTCCCTGGAAGACTTACAAACTCCGCTCGAATTTATCCTTAAAATGCGTGATAATTGTTCCGAGAACACAAACGCCCGAAATTGGGTGCCTTAGCGCGGCTCGGGAAGAAAATACACGCTTGGGGCGCAGGTGCAGGAGTGCCAAATATTGGGCGCCTAATTGCCCCTCTCGGCTGCTTCAGAGCGAAGGGCACGAGAGTGCCTAAATAATGGAGCATAGGTGCCGGCCGCTCGGTCCGTGCAACCTATGGGTGCTCTATATCAGGCTCCATACCATAACAGGGCTCGCCTTTCCCGAAAAATAAAAAAATTTCATTACTTTTATGCACAAGAAGAGGTCAACCAGAAATCACAAAAGCAAGAATCTACTTAGAAAGTAGAAATTCAGTTTAACTACTCCACAATAATGCAGTGAGCTTAATTCCTGACGTAATGCGAAACTTATGTTTTTTCTATTGCAACTTTTGCATTATATTGGCAGCATTTAAATTATATTATCTATTGTAACTTTTGTTGTATGCACTGCAAATTGCTTTTTCAATCCTCACCCATATTTTTTATTTTTTACTTTCACTTTTTCTCTCGCCTTTCAACTAATAAAAATGCTCTTATTTCCGCAGGTATATACTGTACACAGCATTTAGTTTAACAACTGCAATTACAGATTGGAGCAGTGTCTTGTATTCAGTTATTTATACTGCTCTCCCCACTATAGTAATTGGAATTCTGGACAAGGATTTGAGCAGAAAAACGCTTCTGAAGCACCCACAACTCTACGGTTCAGGACAAAGAGAAGAACGATACAACCTCAGGCTCTTTATTCTTACCATGATGGATTCTATTTGGCAAAGCTTAGCCATCTTCTTCATCCCATATCTTTCTTATCGCCACAGCACTGTGGATGGATCCAGCATTGGTGATCTCTGGACCCTTGCAGTGGTCATCATGGTGAATATTCACTTAGCCATTGATGTTTTTAGGTGGAATTGGGTCGTACATGCCGCCATTTGGGGCTGCATTGTTGCAACATTTATTTGTGTCATTGTCATTGATGCGTTGCCTATGCTCCCCGGATTTTGGTAATTTTCTCTTTCACATCCTCCTCCACTTTTCTTACAAACTGGAATTGAGTTTCCTTGAGAAAGGAGAAGTTAGGGGTGTCGGATCGGATTCATGGGCTGGGTTTGGGTCTAACCTGAAATTGACCCAACTTGACACCGTTTAACCTGAACCCAACCCGAATAGTACGGGTCAGAAAAGCTAACCTGAACCAACCCACTGACTTGAACATGGCCAGAATAACATGTTTAACATAAGGCATAACAGTTATTCGGGTTGGTTTTGGGATCAATTTTGAGTTGGTCGGTCTATATTTCTAGTCAGTGTTAGCGGGTGAAATTTAAGTACATTCAGGTTGGCAGATCAATCCAAACCTGACCCGAAAATTATTCAGGTCGACCCAAATCAAAATTTTTCGACTAGAGTTAGGGTTGAGTTGGCAAGTCTGGTCAATTTTTGACAGCCCTACTAGAAACAGTTCTCTTACAATCTTTTTGTGTGATTTGTCAGGGCAATCTTCCATGTGATGGCGACATGGTTGTTCTGGTTTTGTTTAGCCGCCATTCTCGTGGCCGGGATGGTTCCGAGGTTTATGATGAAGGCTTTTTCCGAGTTCTTCTTTCCGAACGATATCCAGATTGCGAGAGAGCAGGAGAAGTTTGGGAATGTAAATGAGAACCAGAACCGTGTTTCTGAAGTTGCTATGAGCAGTTTCTCAGACACTCAACCGCAGTGGATGCTATAGGTTTTTGACTGTTTTTAAATTTTTTCAATTTCATCCTTTTTGATTTGGGGCATTTGCATACATACCACCACTCAATTCTTATGATTTACATGTATAATATCTAAATTTTTCATTTTTTTACATTTGTATCACCGAAACTTTTATGTCACATAAAAAAATATCATCTTTTTGAATTTGAAAAATGATATACACCTTTTCATACATAGGTAAGGTTGTATGCGATGTAAAAATTGAGGTTTAGGTGTTAGATGTGTAAATTTGTAAGAATTGAGTGGTATGTATGTGAAACTTTCACTTTGATTTTTATCTGTGTATATTAACCATTCTTTGAGCTGTTGGTGAGGTTTCAGGTAGCATAAAAGCTGCTTGCTATCCTATCCAAAGGGATATGGATTTGTAGTTCATGTTTTTGTGTATTTATAACATATTTTTTAATTTTTTTTTGTAACAGATTGAATATTATATTTGTAGGACTGAAATTAGGGTGCTTATTGATTTCATTTTTAGTCATTTGATTGAAATTAGATATATCTGTGAATTGGATTGATCTAATATTTGGGGAAATTTACATGCATACCACACAACTCATGTATTTACATATCTTACACTTGTTATATATATATAACCTATGCATGAAATGTTGTATTTTGCTTGTAAAAAGTTTGTAATGATGATCTTTTTTAGTAAATATTAATGCTATTATGTATGTAAATATACACTAGTTGATGTGGTATATATATAAATCAAATAGGAGAACGATCTTTGAAGCGAAAAAATAAAACGAGAAAAATCACACTAGAAAAAAACACACAGATTTACGTAGTTCGGCAAATTGCCTACGTCCACGGAGTTGTAGAGGATTTTACTACTTGAGAAATTTACACCAGTCGATCGCCTTGATTTACAAGAGGAACTTCTCACTTCGTTGTTCTCTCTTCTTCTCTCTCTGTTCTTCTCTCTCTATATTGAGGTACACCGAAGAAATTATACACTGAGATACACCGAAGAAGATAAATTTATAAGAAAAATAAAACTCAATTTCTCTTCTGCCACAAGCCACCAAGAATAAACCAAGAGAGAACAATCTTTTCTTGTTCTTTTTTCTTCCTTCACCTAGCAAGCGCACACTGCTTGCACTTCCTTCCTCTATCCCGAGGAAACCCGAAGAACTCTTCCTCTATCCCGAGGAAGCCCAAAAAAGAATTCAAAATCGCGACTTCTCTAACTGAAGGAGAGTCATGCGATACATTTTATCACGAACAGGATGGAGCGAAGGGATGTTTCGCTTCACAACAGAGGAAGGCGGGAGTGGTTCGCGAACGGGAGCGGCAGACCCAACTCTTCGGAAGCTGAGGAGGCACGACGATAGGGCTAAGCGGGCGGGAGCAAGATGGCAGGATCGGGCTCCAGCACACAGTAAATTGGGAAGTTGAGGCGGTTGGATATGTAAAGAACTGTGTGGTATCTATTTAAATGCTCCTGATATTTATTAGTCTACCATACCTGATAAATAAAAGTTCAAACATTATATTTCTGAGAAGATTGATTACTTCGATGTAATTGTATATTTTTGCATTTACTATTTTATGTTATCCCTTAAACTTAATTGCAATAAAAAAATATGGATGTTTAGAAGATGATAAAATTTTTCTTCGAACTCTTATTTTGCATTTTTATGCTTTTTATGTCAATTTTAAGAGAATATTACTTAGATATGCCACATACATAAAAAAATTATTACATACCTTTAAATATATTTACGTTTAAGGGAAAAAATATTGTGTCCTCACAACGGACGTAAGATGTGTTTGGATAATGGATATAAGTCACGTCTGGACACCAAACGTTATATACCATAAGAAAAAAAAATATAATTGAAACTCATTCCCATGTATTGTTAGAAATGGTGGAGCCCGGTCCACTATGCTTGGGCAGTTACTTTACTTTGGAGAGTCACACATCTTCACAAATAATCACTCTCGTCTTCCTCTTTTGTAAAGTGAAGCATCTCTTCGCTCTCTTCTGTTCGTGATAAAAACTTTGGATGGCTCTCCTTGGGTTTTGTAGTCACGCTTTGAGTTCTTCTTTGGTTTCCTCGGGATAGAGAAAGGTTTCCTCGAGGTAGAGGGAGAGAAGTGCAAGGAAGAGCAGTTCCTTGCGGCAGAAGGAAGAAGGAAGAAAAAAAAATGTTCTCCCTAGGCTTCTTCTTGGGCTTGTGGCAGAAGAGAAATCGAGTTTATTTCTCTTGTAAGTTTGTCTTCTTCGGTGTATCTTAGTGTATAATTTTCTTCGGTGTATCTCGATATAGAGAGAGAAGAACAGAGAGAGAAGAAGAGAGAGAGAGCAACGGAGAGTGAGAGATTCCTCTTGTAAGTTGAGATGATCGACTGGTGTAAAATTCTCAAGTAGTAAAATCCTCTGCAACTCTGTGGACGTAGGCAATTTGCCGAACCACGTAAATCTGTGTGTTTCGCTGTATTGTTCTTTTATGGTGTGATTTTTCTTGTTCTATTTTTCACTTCGTCGATCGTTCTCCTGTTTGATTTATATATATACCACCTAAACTGGTATATCTAGATTTCGCAACAACAACAACTTGTATCAGAGCGTGGTTTCAGATCTGAGAAAGAATGATGACTGCAGATGAAGTGAAGATTTCAGGGATCGAGAAGTTTGATGACACATATTTTGATTATTGGAGAATGCAGATAGAAGATTATCTTTATGGGAAGAAACTTCATCTTCCGTTATTGGGGAAAGACCTGAAAGAATGGATGAGGCTGAATGAAATTTGTTGGTCGACAAGTTCTGGGGATTATTCAAAAGGACGACTGCAGATCTCGTGGCAGCCTTATCAGGTATGTATGAAAAGCAATCAGCGAATAACAAGGTACACTTGATGAAGAAGTTATTCAATTTGAAAATATCAGAAGGTGTTTCTGTTGCTCAACACCTGAATGTTTTCAATACTATCACAAATCAATTGTCGTCTGTGAAAATTGATTTTGATGATGAGATATGTGCACTGATCTTGTTGGCTTCATTGTCAGATAGTTGGGAAGCCATGAGGATAGCAGTTAGCAGTTAGCAGTTTTGCAGATAAATCTAAACTGAAATATGATGATATTCGTGATTTGATTTTGGCTGAGGAAGTTCGCAGGAAAGATTCTGGCGAGGTCTCAGTTCGAGTTTGGCACTGAATGTTGATTTCAGAGGGAGATGACATGCCATGAACTCAAGTATAGGGAGATCAAAATTAAAGTTTAGTAAGCAAGCAACCTGTTGGAATTGTGGCAAGACTGGCCACATAAAGAAGAACTGCAGGAATCTTAAGAAGATGGAGAATGATAGCGCAAACGTGGTATCTGAAGAATCACAAGATGTACTATTGTTCGCAGTTCATAGTTTTGTTGAAAATTTAATATTGGATTCAGGGGCTTTGAATGTGGTAGGAAATCTACCAGATGCCACAATGCAATGCAGGGAATGCAGGGCAGTGATGGAAGTGAAGAGGAAAGTGGGTCCGGGGCACCCATTCATATTGTTCCATAGACAAATGTTGAAGAGCAACAGAGCTATGAGGAAATCTTGCAAGATGAAAGTTCGAACAAGTGGGAGCGGAGCTGACAGAACTTCCACCAGGGAAGAAGACATCGCATAACCAGTGGGTGTACCAGGTGAAGACTGAGTGTGATGTCAGTAAGAGGTACAAGGCTAGACTTGTTGAAAAATACTTTCAGCAGAGGCGGGATGTTGCCCATGCTGTGTGAGTTATAAGAAGAGACAAGAGTGACCCAAGAAATAGCTTGAAGGTGCAAAGATATGTGGAACATGTTGATATGTTAATTGAGGGTGTTACTCTTGAGAAAATGAAGTTGTGCACAGCTTCAGTTGGTCTTTTGGAGTGAAGACAAAGGCTTTGAGGGCTTTGAGTTGCAGAGGTGGCAGAGGTGGAAGATTCAAGGTGGAGGATACATGTTGAAGAAAAGGGTAACACCGCCAGTAGAGGATATCAGTTTGAAGAAGGAGATGTTGCAGTCTGTGTACCGGTCTCCAAGTGGGAGAATTGTTAGAAACAGTGGAGCCCGGTCCACTATGCTTAGGCGATTACTTTGCTTTGGAGAGTCACACTTCTTCACAAATAACCACTCCCGCCTTCCTATTTTGTGAATTGAAGCATCTCTTCGCTCCCTCCTGTTCTTTATAAAAGTTTCGGATGACCCTCCTTGGGTTTTGTAGTCACACTTTGAGTTTTTCTTCGGATTCCTTAGGATAGAGGAAGGTTTCCTCGGGGCAGAGGAAGAGAAGTGCAAGGAGAAGCAGTTCCTTGCGGCATAAGGAAGAAGAAGGAAGAAGAAAACGATTGTTCTCCCTAGGCTTCTTCTTGGTGGCTTGTGGCAGAAGAGAAATTGAGATTATTTCTCTTGTAAGTTTGTCTTCTTCGATGTAGAGTTTTCTTCGGTGTATCTCAGTATAGAAAGAGAAGAACAGAGAGAGAAGAAGAGAGAGAGAGAGCAACGAAGAGTGCGAGATTCCTCTTGTAAGTCGAGGTGATCGCTAGTGTAAATTTCTCAAGTAGTAAAATCCTCTACAACTTCGTGGACGTAGGCAATTTGTCGAACCACGTAAATCTGTGTATTCCGCTGTGTTGTTCTTTTATGGTGTAATTTTTCTCGTTCAATTTTTCACTTCTTCGATCGTTCTCCTGTTTGATTTATATATATACCACAAAAACGGGTATATCTAGATCTCGCAACAACAACATGTATCATCTAGACCCGTCCTCCCTTTAATTTATCCAAATTCTTAATAAGTCAGTATATGCTAACGAGTTAAGCTAGTGGGCTGGCCTGTCTAAACTAGAGGGTCCTAACTTTCCTTGGAAATTCTTAATTGGATGCATGGAAGTTTCTATGGCCTATGCGGTTGGTTGGAAGTTTTAAATCATATAGATCTGAATGATCTAGAATTTCAATAAGTTTATGGTTAAACACCGAACCGAATGATCTCAAAATTGATTCAATCTAAGCTCAATCAAGCCTTGATTAATCCATTGAAGCACAAT